CAGCCTCAGGACCTTGACCATCATCAGCCTCAGGACCTTGACCATCATCAGCCTCAGGACCTTGACCATCATCAGCCTCAGGACCTTGACCATCATCAGCCTCAGGACCTTGACCATCATCAGCCTCCCCAAAGACCATCATCAGCATAGAGCGCGCCACTTGAACGCGCCTCTCCTGCGCCGCGTGAACGCGTCACTTGTCAGGCTTCCTTCATCATTTTTACATCAGTTTTTTCCGCCATTCTTCGATATTATCACTCCCTACATTATTCCCTACATCCACGTCATCCCTCTCCTTCATTTCTATCATCTAAATCATTCTGTCATATAACTCCTCTTGTCTATAGTATTTATTTCTTTCATGTTTCTTCATTTTCTAAATTTTATTTCCCTTTGTAAATTTTCTCTCTGCATTCTTTTAGGTATTCATTTTTATTGTTATTCACTTCATTTCATATTTACATTTCCTTTTTCGCTGGCATTTTTCTCACTCACTTTCGAGATGAGGTATGAAAGGAGGGGCGCCTGAGAGGGGGAACTTGCATGCCTTCACTCCATCTTCATCAAATTTCTCACCACACTTCATTCCTTCTACCTTTATTCTCTCTATGTCTCCCCGTTTCCCCTCTTTTCCCCTTTATTTCTCCCGGCTCTCCTCCTCTCCCTCTCCCTACACCATCTCTTTCCTCCATCCCTCCCCCTCCTCCTTGCCTCTCTCCCTCCCCCTCCTCCTTGCCCTCCCCTCCACCCCCCCAGAAAAGANCATCACACGGCGCGTATCAACACATCACACGGCGCGTATCAACACATCACACGGCGCGTATCAACACATCACACGGCGCGTATCAACACATCACACGGCGCGTATCAACACATCACACGGCGCGTATCAACACATCACACGGCGCGTATCAACACATCACACGGCGCGTATCAACACATCACACGGCGCGTATCAACACATCACACGGCGCGTATCAACACATCACACGGCGCGTATCAACACATCACACGGCGCGTATCAACACATCACACGGCGCGTATCAACACATCACACGGCGCGTATCAACACATCACACGGCGCGTATCAACACATCACACGGCGCGTATCAACACATCACACGGCGCGTATCAACACATCACACGGCGCGTATCAACACATCACACGGCGCGTATCAACACATCACACGGCGCGTATCAACACATCACACGGCGCGTATCAACACATCACACGGCGCGTATCAACACATCACACGGCGCGTATCAACACATCACACGGCGCGTATCAACACATCACACGGCGCGTATCAACACATCACACGGCGCGTATCAACACATCACACGGCGCGTATCAACACATCACACGGCGCGTATCAACACACCACACGGCGCGTATCAACACATCACACGGCGCGTATCAACACATCACACGGCGCGTATCAACACACCACACGGCGCGTATCAACACACCACGCGCTTCGTGTATTTTTTCTTTGCCGCTCACGCTACTTTAACTTCAAATAAAATACGAGGGAGAATTAGAGGGAGTGAGAGGGGAAGGGGGGAGGAGAGGGGGGAAGAGTATGGGGGTGCGGTCGATGTTCATATTTGTTTTGAGTTTGGTTGCCATGACGACGGCCAAATGCCAATTTTGGGAAGCGCCCGTGAGAGTCTGGGGGTGAGGGGGGGGGGGTTA